TAGTTTAGGTTTTCCAGGACTTTTATCTTGGAACCAAAGCAGAATCTTGGGGAATTAATGTCTTAGATGTTAAGTTCTCTGGTGTGAATACCATACATACCATTGACATTGTTTTGTTTCACTTTTTTCCCCACATAGAAAATATATGTCTGTTTCGGGGTTTTTTTTTTATCATCTGCCCCTTGTCCCTGCCCCTCTGTTGCTGTTTGCCAACATCTGCTTTTCAGCATGCTTCTCTGAGGTACTACTGTGGGGATTCCTGCTAGACAGGAACTTAGGTGGCAGAAAGCAGCCACACGTTTCGTGTCTGGGGCCAGCTAACATGCCTAAAGTCAGAGGTGGTGAATTGGCCAGTGGCTTCCTTGAACCTTTACTATCTGCTGTAAGGTTTGGAAGGACGGTAATGTCTGCTCAAACAATCCTTACATGGGAGGGTTTTTTTACGTATTGGCTGTTCCACTTGTAATAATCTAGAGCTGTTAAATGTATTAAGTTGATTGGCCTATTTTAAAATGCTGTTTCCTATATAGAAGACAGAAAGCATAAACGAAGATCCCATTCCTCTGCTCCCCATAGTTATGAGATCTGCTGCCAGAAATACCTCTTCTGAAAGTGATAACTGTGATTTCATTGCACCACTTTTAAAAGCCAAATAGTTTCTGAAACAGTTTATACTTCTGAAAGTTGTACTTTGAATGTGGTTTGTGGTGGGAGAAGTACCAAATCATGGCAGTAACTCCTGAAGGGGAAAGAATCACTTAAAGTGTTGACAAACCTTAATGTTTACTTGTATGATGACTTTTGTTAAAGAAACAGTAATTAAAACTGCTCAATGGCTCATACTGTTTGCTAGACAGAAGTTTCTTTAAATGGATATCACATTCATAATGAAAAGTTCTTACCTCCTCTTTCTCTTGATTGCATTTTATAAAGCATAATTGTCATGTTGTGTATGACAAACCAAGTTATCACCTGTATTGTCTCTACATATATTTGAGGTAAGTACTTGTAATATTAAGGTGCCATCAATCACATCTTCATGTAGCACCAGTTTTAGACTATGGTGGCATTTAGAGCATCTCAATGAATGTCTTGGCTCCACTGTTTTAAGTACAGCATTACATAGATTTATAGAGCAAGAGCAAGAAGGGGTGATGAATCATCTAGATTGACTTCCGATATGTCATGTTTAACTTTGTTTTTATTCTGTTAACTGTAGCTAAAGCAGATACTCGACAAAATCATCCAGTTTTGAGGCTGCACTGGCAAGAGATAGTTTCCACTACTTTCTGGATTGTCATCTTCATTAGCGTGCATGAGGGTTGTTCTGCTTGTAGGTGCTAGTAAAAGAATAGTCCCCACTCTGAAGAACCTATGGCTTATATAGATAAAAAGATGAAATGGGATAAAAAAAAAGGTCCCACGTTACAAATGGCAAAATGGACTCAGAGGGAAGTTCTGACTAGCCCAGAGGATCACATGCGAGCATCTAAAAGAGGCTGAAAAGGAACCTGTGTCCTTTGTGACAGATGTTATGCTTTTAAGTGGATAATGATCCTTACTCTCTTACACAAAAAGAAAGCTGGAAATAGGAGGGTGGGTTAGGCTTCTCCTGACTACCAGCAAAGAACTACCAGGTGGTAAACAGTGGTTTACAGGTCTAAAAGCTTCTGTTGCTAAGTATTTGTATATATCATTTGAGAGGCTGAAATTTATAAGAATCACTTTTGTTATGCAGTACAAGGGAGAAATGATACTTAAAAGGCTGAATCAGTGTGATAGAAAAATTCAAACCTTTACTGTTCCTAAAAGCGATCTGGCCATGCTGGTGAGATTTAAGATCATTTGTATGCACAGGAACATCTCCAAAATATGTTATGCATCAGTCTTGCTGAGTACACGGTTGCTTTTTTGCATGATAAGTCACTGTAGAATAAATTCTGTCGTTAGCTGGAGCACAGGAGTGGCAGGTCAGTGTTCCCGCTGCCCAGTGGCAAAAGCAAGGTTATTGTGGTAGCTTAGCTCTTGCTGATGGAAGGAAACCTGAAATTACCAATGAGTTTATTGTAACCTTAAGCTGTGCAATTTTGAAGTTATAGCCAGTGCTCAATACTGATATTTTAGACCTGCTGCTTTCAGATTTCGCAGAGCAGAGTTTCAGCGTGAAGCTGGACTTGGCCTGTCAATGACAGAATGTGAAACAACACCTTAAATATTGTTTCTCTTCGGAGATTTATAGGCAGGGTAGGTGGATTGATAATGTGTACTGTTCAACAACAGCATAAGCTCAGCTCTGTTGGCTTCACAGTGGGCTATGGTCAGTGGTCACTTGGAGAGAATGTTTTGTTTCTGCTAGGGAAATACTGATACAGGTGAGAGCACAGTGCTGAATGAAACCCCTTGCCAGCGCTGGCAGGAGAAGCGCTGCAGTTGCAGAGCAGGCAGAGGAGCACGGGGAGCAGCCCCTGCCTTTGCACTTCTCTGAGGTCCTCAGTTTTTCCCACTGGTGACACTGGTGTTCAGCCTGTGCATCCACTGAGGTGTTTGGCTTCTGAGCGGGGGGCTGGTTGTTGTACATCTTGGTTTTAGTCATTCGCAAGTTTGAAGCTGGCTATTAGAAGGTGACTGTGAGGATTTTTATCCTATTCCACATTCTGTCAAGTGACCTGAAGGTTAAAGTGTCTGCCTTCAATATCTATTTCCAAACTATTCCTGCTTCCAGTAGAGACAATGAATAGTAACAGATGTCTTGCTTCTTTTTTTTTCTTTTAATGCAATGCTTCTTTGGCCTGTGTTAGAGCGAGACATGGAGATTTTCCAGTGGAAAAAGAAACTAGAAGCAGCATTCATGACATTATTATCTATAGTATGTTTATTGCTGTGGATTCCAAACATTTTAATTGGCTACAGGTGGCCTTTGGTAATTTGAAAGGAAGGCAAGTACAGCTTTTGAACCTTTCCTCCCTGTCTCCTGCCCCTGTTTTGTAGATCATAGGATTTCATAGGCTGAGGAATACTTGCTGGTTTATTTGCATCCATGTGAATTGAGCAAAATGGAAGCGCTGCTATTTTAGTAGTAATTTCAGTTTACATTATGTTAAAAAATCTTTGTTGGTAACAAGCATCGCAAGAACACGGATCTGGAGAGGACAGTGGAAAGTATGTGGGTGCGTGTTTGTGCATATAAGTTGTTTTAGGGAAAAGAAGCTGATTAATTTTACAAGAAGGCTAATTAAAAATTCTTTCTGCAGCAGCTCTTTATCTTTTCTCTCTGAAGTAATAGACCAAAATTACATAATTGCCTTAATTTTGGCCTGAGAGGGAATTATCATTTGGAATGACAGGGGGCTGTTCCTTTTCTCATTTAAAACTTGGTTAAGTTTTAGTCTTGGAGAAGCCACTTTAATGAGGAGAAATGTGAACCCTTGTAAAATCTGGTTTGTAATGCTAATAATGTCCTTCATTAGAGTTGACCTGGTGTATGATCGTTTGGCCAGATGGCACTGTGCAGGAAATGTACTTAAAATTTTAATGTACAAAAAAAATCTTTGATCTGCTGTTACAGTGGGTCATCAAAACCACAAATACTTAAAATTTTAATGTACAAAAAAAATCTTTGATCTACTGTTACAGTGGGTCATCAAAACCACAAAACATAAAACCAGAAAAGTATAGCCACCCAGTATTTCTAGAAACAATTCAAGTAAGTTGGATTTCAAGGCACAGAATTCCTCTGGGGAAATGGCAAAAAATGATTTATTGGAGAAGTTTGTATTGGAGACACTTTGGGTTATGGGGGAAGAGTCCTGATTAAATGGTAATGGTAATTATTTATTTTTATTTTTTTGATGTTAAGTATTTTATGACAGCAAGTTTTCAAAAATGCTTAGATTGTTGGTGCTTGAATGCAACATTAATATTCTTTAATTGTGTGTGTGTGAACAGTATACTTGACAGCAAATGAACACTGTCTATCCTTAAATACTTGCAAGTATAATGAAAAAAGTGCATTGTAGATTCTTTGGATTTGCCTTAGGATTTAAGGACCCTCTTGTGTCTGCTTGCGTAAAACTTCTTAACTTTTCCCTGTATCCTGAAAGCTAAAATTATTTATTTTGTTCTCAAGTAAAAGTCGAGTATCTTATGGGTGAAAACAGAAGCTGGAGCCTCAAATACAAACCCCCACCAACTGTGTGATTTTAAAAAAAAGTCTTATATGTTGGAATGTATTAAAATTAAAAACACAAATGTACATGACTGGAGTATCTAAACTCGCTGTTCTGCTCATTTTGTTCTTTTGAACTAGCAGTAGTGTATTTTGGTAGCTGAAGCAGCAAGTTGCAGTCTTTGGGGCTTGGCAGAGTCATACTTCACAATAACAAAGAATTGAACTTCTTTACTTTAGCATGCCATTAAGCTGCAGTCTCACGTTTCAGTGCCTGGGAATTGATTTACTGATTTGATTTTCTGAGACATATGGTGATAATAATAACAACATTGTATAAGCATTATTTAAAAATACAATAATATACCGGTATTGGGTCTTTGGCAGGCAAACACTGAAGTGCACACACAAACTACTGTCATTTATTTAAGTTTAGTCTCATCTAATTTTAAACAAATGGAAATCAATACTGCTTGTGGATATTGGTGGCTAGATTGGCAAAAGAAGTGAAGTGGCATTGTTACAAAGAACACATTATACAAGAAAACGCAAGTGTATAAATTTTATGTATGTTCCTCTTTTGATTTTCTTTTTTTTCCCCAGGATCTTGTAGTACACTGTACAAAGATAGGCTTTTTATTGTTACGACTGTGGTGTATGTCCCCTATGTAAAATTCATCCCTATGTAAAATGCATGTGTCGTTTGCAATTTTAATGTAGAAATAGGAAATGAATTCTTATGAAATCCAGTGCCTTGTTTAATGCTGGCTTGATGTATGGATTGACACAGACTTTAAACCTGTTAGAGTCAACGAATGCTGTTTTTCCCTTTCAGATATGTGTCACAAAGATGTCTACACGGAACTGCCAGGGAATGGATTCAGTGATCAAACCTCTGGACACAATTCCTGAGGATAAAAAAGTCCGGGTTCAGAGAACGCAGAGTAGTTTTGATCCATTTGAGAAACCAACTAATCAAGTGAAGAGGGTTCATTCGGAGAACAATGCTTGCATTAACTTCAAAACTTCATCTGCAGGGAAGGAATCACCTAAAGTCAGGCGGCACTCCAGCCCCAGCTCTGTAAGTGCACAGTCCTGACACCTGCGTGTGTAACAAATGGTGGAATTAATAACACCAGATTAATGTTTTCTTGCTTAAGAAGGATTTGATTACTTGGAAACAAAACAAAAAGCTCATGGCTGCTGTTAAAGATGTTTCCCATATATATTTGTAGTGTTATGTATAAAGTAGAATAAGAAAATAGAACTTGAAAAGGAATGTATTTTGAAATTCCTCTCAGATATTAGCTAGGGTATCTTACGGGATTTCTAAGCATTTTTGTCTCCTGATACTGGTATGACATTACAGCTGCTATAATGTTTATGTTGCAAATTTTGCAGAGGCTTGCTTACTTGTGAAGAGAAATTCTTTCCCATGAAATTTAGGAAACCACATGAATTGCCTTTTTGATTTTTAGATTTAGGTTTTAGAGAAACAGATCAGATTGGACAGATTTTGTTTACATTTTAAAATTCTCTTTTTAAAATCAAGTAGTAAAAATAACATTTATTTCCATGTCAGAAACTCTGTGTGTGTGAGAGAGAGAGAGAGGAGAGAGAAACAACTGAGAATGGTTTGGCAACACATCATCATTGTTATTTTGTTCTCAAGTATTTTGAAAGAAACTAGATAAATAAAATGTCATATCTTTCATGAATAATGCCCAGAACGGATTTCCCCCAAAAGACCTTCAAAATTATTGAAAAACTATTTCTGTTATGCTTTGGCAAGAAAAATCCATAATAATGTGACCTTTGAGTTGAAGACTACAGATCTAAGCAGAATGGATGTAACAATTATCTTAGTTCATATGAAATAATTTCGAAGGCTGATTGCCTCTTCTTTTTTCTTTTCTTTCTTTTTTTTTGTTTTGCTCTGTCTTCTGGATATCTTCTGTCCTCCCTACAGAAGTTTGACTGAATCCTATCAGACTTCTAAGAAGAAATGACAGAGATTCATTTTCTGCAGATGAGCTTTGTTTAACCCATGTGAATTTAACGGATAAGATGTCATGCCTCCAGGGGACTGTCCTTTTAGAAAAGGTTACATTTTAAAATGTAACCATCTGTAGCAAAAACAAGTTTGCTTTTTCATCATCACCTGGCATTATATAGCTGCTGCCAAAGATGTCTCCAGCGTGTTCCAGATGAGTCTGTAACAAGTTCTTCCCATAAAACTTTTACAGTCTTTAAGGATGGATGGAGTGGTTTGCACCATGTTTACTTGTGCGTGATGCCTGATTATTGTTTAACATCGCAACTGTCAATTTAAATGACTTTTTTTGAAAGCCTTTCCTTAAGTTTTTTTCGTGGTATTAACTCATTCCCCACCTCTGCTGTTCTCATCTTGTTCCTCTTAGAAATAATTACTAATTTCTGTTAATGCTTTATGTACTTCTTTTCTATTAAAACTGAAGGGTTTTATTTGCTTTGCTTCCAGAATTTTGAAGCAGACTTTTTTTGAAACTGTATTATTGGCTCCTTGTTCTTTTCCAGAGGGCTGGTACTCTACTGCCTCCATGCAGTCTCCTATCATCCAAGTATTTTCTTATATAAGTGACGTTAATGCTTCCTCTGCTACTGTGCTGCTGGTTAGAGCCCTAGCTAAACATACAGTTTTGGTAATTTTCTCCTATGCTGACTCACACAGACTTGCTGGGGACGTCTCGTGTTAAAGTAGTTGCATAGGAATTTCCTGAAATACGGTTCTCATTTCTCAACTTCCTGTAATTCTCCCTGGTTTTTATAGCTCTGTTTGGTGAACTCCGTTCTTCCTTGTGCTTGGAGGTTAGTTGTTCTTGATTCTTCCTTACAAGGAGTGATCCAAAGAGCACCTGGCAAGCAATAACTTGCGGAATAATGTCAACGTTGATGCCAATGAAGAGAGAAGAGCAGAACTTCACAGCAAAAGGTGATGTTAGCCCTCTACTGATCCCAGATCACACCTGGTCCTGCCTGGCAGATCTAAGCTCAGACGTCCAAGGCAAAGATACAATCAAGCCTCTTCCCTTCCCCCAGAGCCTGCATACATTGCCTCAGGCAGGAGATGTCCTGATGCACATTTCATCGAGCATATGTCTGTGTGGTTAGTTGCAGGAATTTGTCATTCTCTGTTTTTGAATTACACTTGAATTGATGAAGAGTTTTGGGTTTCATTTTTTTCTAGTGCTGATGTTGTGTAGCGGATGCCCTTGCTACTTCCTCTTCTGATCATTACTTCTTTTTATTCCATGTCAGAGGACTGCTACATGTTCTCCCTTATTGAGTTAATAGTTGATTCTCTGGAAATTCTTCTGCTGTATAGATTATACCAGTCTGCATGGGCATTTCAGTTTCTGTAAATGTTCTTGAGCATGCTGTGCCTTCTGGGTTGTACTGGCTACAGTTGTGTAGTTGTGTTTCAGTTTTGGCTCTGCTTTCTGTAAGCTTTATTTTAAGATACACTGATAACTGTATACTACCTTCAATTTGCACTTTCTATTCTGGATTAGTAGAGGAACTGAATTAGAGAGGCTTCCGTTTATTCTCTTCCGTTTCATCATTTGAAGTCCTCTGTAGCCATCAGGGAAGTGATGTCTTACAGAAGGTACAAGGCTGAGGCTTGCAGTCTCCATATCACTGCTCCTGCTCCGGTGAAAGTTCTTTATTTGTCTTGGAAAGAATGTTTTTCAAGATGCGACCTGAAAGACCTTGTTTATAATGCCCTGGTGCATTAACTTCTGGTTTGATTAGTTTCAGAGGCTTTATCAGCTCTCTGGCAGGTATCAGCTTCAGTGTTTGGTGAAGGTCACTAAATAATACTCTGCAGGTGGCATGTTACCCATTTTGTGTTTTCCGTACCTTTGAAATGCTCTGCACCTTGTGATGAGAAAGATGATGCACACACAAGCTTGGGAAAGCTGGATCTCTGTTTTCCTGCCCACAGATTGTCACTTGGAAAATATTTGCTCTTGAACATGAAGTAATTTTCTATCTCATTGCAACCTGGTAGAAATCCTGAGGTGTTACTGCAGTAGCATACAGACAGAAGTTAACATCTTGGTTTTTTGTTCTTATAAGACAAACTTCATTTTTACACTTAAGAGTCTTTCCACCTGATATTTATGTGTTCATTATGTAAAACAGTTGCATTGCATTTTCTTCCCCCCTTCTTTTAAACATAAGAAAGTATCTGAGTGTGATTTCCAAACTGTTTAAGCTGATTGAAATTGGATGTTACTATGGAATGAAATTTCCAGCAGAACAGACTTAGCCTTTTATCACATCAGAATAATGTTAGTATTCACATTGCAGGTAGTGAAGTCAGTGTTTACCTACCTGTGCATCACCTGTCGGCCACTGTTAGAAGAAGGGAACTTGACAAACATTTTCTCTGGTCCAGTCCAACTCAATATATGTGTGTATATACACAGATATATAAATTATATACATGTAGCTATAGTTGTGTGTACTTATCTATCTGTCTGTATCTGTCTTTCTAAAAATCTTTTGCTGAGTCTTTTGGCTACCAAGGGAAGAAACTTGCTTTTCTTTTCTCCGTGACTTAAGAAATGGTAAAACTACAAAATAAACTGGACAAAATAAAAAAAGCACAACTCAAAACCAAACACATTCCACTCTTCCCAAAATAACACTGACTTTGGAAGATGGTTTGATTCTAATTCTCTGAAAGTTTTATTTGCAATCCATGCTCTTTAGACATGTGGCCTTATTAATTTTTCTCCAGTGCAAGGGGAAGTTTTATTGTATTCAGTGTATACATTATATACACTAAAATAGTACTTTTGCACAATATGTAAATAGTATATTGTAAGTTTTATACATTAGCCATCTGGTCAAGATCTAGTTACATAGTGATACACATCAGTTTGTTCTCTTTGAATGGCTTACGATCTATGGCAATGAGTTCAAATGTCATGCTAAGGTATTTGCACTACCTTTCAGTTACTTTTTAAAAACTAAATGCAGCAAAATACTAATCTTCTACCAACTCGCATAAATGTAAAAAATTCGTTCAGATAAAAATAATTGGATAAGCAATGCTTTACTGCATTGACTCTGTACTCTTTTTGGGAGAGCAGCCTCTCTTCTGCTTCTGTAACTTCTATTAATTTTCAGTCCTGTTATATGCAACTTCCTTCCAAAAAAGTGCAAGCAAAAAGCATGAACTGATCCTGTTAACATGTTGTAAATCAGTTGCATAAGAAATCTGACTTTAAAGCAGACCCTAAAGTCAGAATTTTGTCTAAAAGTTAGGCATCATTTCCGTCTGCCTACACACCTGGTGTGCCATTCTTGCCTGTCGCCCTCTTCAGGTGTATGCAACCTTCTCCAGTTTTAGGAACCTTAATTACTAGGGTAACTGCATCCTTCCTGGTGATACTTTTTATTGAAGTAAGATAATTTCAGAGTTTGTTGTAGAGAGCAGATTTTTCTTTTCCGGCACAAGGGAAGCTTTAATAATCCTTAACCGGGGGGATACTCTCTAGATGATAAGGCAGATAAAATGTGGCAGTTGGTCCAACTCCTGTGCTTTAATAGCCTGGAGAACAAGCAAACAGCTTTAAAAACTGCATCCAGCCCTTTCATAGAGAGCTCTCTGGTTGCTTCTGCTCAGGTTGCTCTTAATTTATGGCTGCGTGTTAAAGGGTTAGAAAGATTCAAGCAACGGGATGGGATCAGGTAGTGGAAGAGCTGAGATAAAGGCTCAATTTGGATTCTTGAACATATTTGTGTCCCTTGAACGTTGCCCTAGAAAACAGTCCAACCTGCAAGGGTCTAAACAAAAAGAAAAAAAAGTGATCAAATTGGCCTGTTATTGTAGGTTGGATACAACCTGAAATTAGTGTGAAACTTGCATATGGTTTCGTGAAAGAGGTTTTACTGTTATGTCAAAGACAACAAATTAATAGTCTTCCATTCTTGTGATTTAATCTCGGTTAAGCCTTTTGACTTACCTTTTTCTTTCAAGTTTTTCTAGCAATGAATTTATGTCTTTTGAAGCATATAACAAAAAAGATC